GTGTGTGTGTGTGTGTGTGTGTGTGTTCGTAGCGCGCACGCGCAAACCTAAGCCTGGGCTCAGTCAAAGGCGGCGGGAAGTTGGTTTTCTGAACTGCAAGTGAGCCTCTTGAAGACGGATTGGCGACGACGGACCAATAAACAAACACTTCATTGGCTTAGCCTGTACAGGCTCCCGGCTCCCTAGCTTGCCATTGGGCCTTTCAAGAAGAGCAGATCAGAGGCGTGACTCTCAGAGTCCCGCCCCGCGCCTTGGCCCTGCCTCGGGGTCCAAGGCTGAGGGAGCGGAGCGGAAGTGAGCCGGTTTCGCCCCCTCCCCCCCAGTCTTCGTTGTAGCCGCCTCTGCAGCCACTACCGCTGCTCGCTTTCGGGCGAGCCGGAGTCTCTGTACCGTGCCCTCGGTCCCCGGCCGCGTGGAGCCGGGATGCACTGCTCCTGCTGTGGGTCCTCATCATGGAGACCAAACGGGTGGAGATTCCCGGCAGCGTCCTGGACGATCTCTGCAGGTACTGCCTGGGCCACTCTCGACCCCTCCTTGGTGTGTGTGTTCTCTCCAATTCGCCGACCTTTTAGAGTCGTGCGGGGCTTTCCCCCATCTCTTCCATCCCTGTTTCCGCTCGCTCTCTACCGTGGAGCCTTCATTGAGATGACACCACTCCCCTCTTTCCGCTGCATCCTCCTCGTTTCTCACGCCCCCCCCCCTTCTCCGTGGAGCACCCGGAATTTCTTCATTTTCTTAGTTGGGCAGCTGGTTTGCTTTTCTTTAGAGCTTTAGCATTTTCTGGCCGCTTCCTCTTTCCATTGTTTTTCCTCTGCATCTGACTTCATAGTCCATTTCCCCCACTCCTCTCCTCTCTTTGCCAGATTCTGTAGGAAGATTTCGGTGCCCTGAGTCTTCGAATCCCGAGTGCCCGGATCTGCGCGCGGAGCAGTTTTCAGTTTGACTCCTTTTCTCCCTGTGTTTGCGGAGCTCCTTGGCGTTCTTTGTAAATTCATACAGAGACTCAAAATACTTTTCATGCCCACCTTAAAAAAAAAAAAAAAAAAAGCTTTTTCATCCCAAGAGTTGCTATTTGGAGTTTGAAGTGGGCTAGTGTAGGTCTATTATTCTTTTCATATCTTAATTATCGTTAAAGGAAATTCTCATAGGGTTTTTTTTTTAAACATCATAGTATACCTTTATAAGAAATTTTCTGCACCATCATTTCTTACCAACTGTGATTTCACATCGTCAAACACGTGTACGATGGGCATAAAATATTTTCTGAACTTTTCTTTTAGGTAGTAATAGGGCTTAAGCCGGGTCTGTGTGAGAGTAGTGGAAGAAATTAGATTGCGGAGAGTGAAAAGCTCTGTTACAATAACAGATTTTAGGCAGTTAATGCATTTGTGTCTTAACTTCTAGCTTGGGTATTCGGCCCCCGTCCCCCATTATTAGGGAAGGAAAGACCTAGCTAGTACGCGGAGAGCTTCAACCGTGCGTCCTGGGGTGCTGCCGTGACACTCATCGTTTTATTTCATTCCCACCATAGCCCATGCTATAGGTGCAGTTGTGGCATGTTGTTAAACCATTTCACCAGAACCTACCTAGAGGCTGCAATTGACACTTAGACACACAGGGTTATATATTCATTCTAAGTGAGTAAATTTCGGGTTTGCAGCGTAGGCCCTTTTCTTCCCAGAGCCCTGTGATTTTTCTCCTGGGGCGAACAAATGTTTGTTAGAGGCTTAACGTTGTGACCTTCACAAAAGAAAAGTATGTGTATATAAGGAAATGGACTAATTTTACAGCTGATGAAAACGACTATGTACGGCTAATAATACGAACTTATTTTTTGGTGATATTTGATTATGATTTCTGGAATATAATAGTTTCAGATAACACAAGTTTAAATGGTACTGATTTTCTTTGATTTCAGATTTTAAAAAAGAAAAATAATTTGTGGATAAAGTTCTAGAGGAGCATGTGCCAAAAAAGAGAAAATAATCTTCATTGTCTCCACATTTACAGTATTTTAAAAAGGATGTGTATATTAGAGAAAAATTGAAGATGGTTATTTGGGAAATTGAGCAATAATTTACATTATAATTTATATTAATACTGCTAAGAGTGAATGATCTTACACGTTTTACAGGGTTCTAAACTGATGTACAAAAGTAACAAGTAATATTGGGTTTAGTGTGTATATCAGCAAGAATTACATCTTGTGAAGCAGTCATGCCAGCAATTAGGAAGGTCTCAAATTTGATGTGTGGAATCTGTTTACAGAACAGTTTTATTTTGAAAACAATGTATCCAGCATCTCTTTTGTTACTTATTGTATTTCCCAGTGGGTGTATTTAAGCTATTTTCTAATGTTTATTGGAATAGAGTGACATTTTTTCCTTTTAAGAAAAAATTTATTCAGTTACTGTTAACGTCTCCCACCACCATCCCACAAGATGTGATGATGTGTTGAATCTTTATAGTATCTTAATCGTGAAAGATTTTTCATGTCAGTAGTTTTTAGGAGGTTTTTTCCTCCCCACATTTTTCCACTTAAGTGTTTGTTTAAATTTTCACAAAAATAAAACTTGAAAGAAGTTTAATATTTTGCATTTCTTTGCTCTTAATATTATTATTTTTTTAAAATTTGGTTTCAGCCTTGGATTTTTGTTTTTAGAGCTCTTTATTCTTAGCATTTTTCTCCTAATTCTACAGATTATTAATACATTTAGAAGTTGTATATTTTTTGGAGGAGAGATTTTTTGTACATTTTCTTGCCTTTATTTTTAAGGCTCTTTTTATTCTAAATCAGTCCTCCATTCCTGATATATTTAGGAAGCTATAAAGAGATGTGAAATTTTTATTTATTTTCATGTGAAAAATTACAGCAAGAGACTTAAATTTTTAAAATGTGATTTTATGTTCTTTTTAGAATGTAAAATTCTTTTTAGTACCTGAGGCATGAAATGTTGCTTATCATACCTCAGGTGCTAATTAAGATGGCTTAATATATATATATT